TAAAAACACACTGCATTCATTATACACACTCTGCATTCACTACAAACACACTACATTCATTATACACACCCTGCACTGCACTATATGCATAGGAGTGTAATTTTTTTTTTTTTAAAGGGGGGGGGACGGGGGACGGCGGGAATCTTGGGTGAGTTCCCACACTTTTTTCCCCAGGACTTGACCCCTGCATAGAAACCCATAGTGTTTCAAATCATTTTAAAAGAGTGCATGAACAGAATCCAGAAGGAATGTTCTTTTGCGCAAAAAAGCAAGTGAAAAAAGATTGGAGAGGAGGAGACTATATAAATAAGATAGGAAAAGAGGAAATGAAGTTTATTTTTGATTTTAACACAATGATACCTGAGGTTTAAATAATGACTTCGAACTATATCATTTTATGAGCTGATACATTTTAATCCATAAAAATTAAAGATTTTATATATATTTAAATACTCATATATAGAAAGAACACATAACATTTTATTATATATAACGTTTTTAGGAAATGCCCTAATTGATCTTATATATCTAACCAAACATCTTATTATATATAAAGTTTTAACATATGTTTTAGTAGATAGTTCATATAACATACACAAAACGATTATTATATTTTATTACATACAAAATTATTTGAAAAGGTTTGGTTTATGCCTAAATTAATTTTATATATCGGCATTAAATATTTTATTGTACAAATAGTTTTTTATAATATTTTGATCGGATCTGTAAGATTGTTTATATTTTATCACTTTAAGTCTGTCACCTGTTTTTTGGAGTAAGCTTGCTTTTTAAATAACATTTTATTTTTTTACATATGCAATATGTGGATTCTTAACTAAAATGGAACAAGCCTGCTATTGAAAATTCTTTATTTTCATATATATGCAATATGAGGATTTTTGAACCAAAAGAAATTTTTTCCACTAAAATCCACTCTGTAAAGGAAGAATATGTGGATTTACAAGTTTTCCTTAATACACATCCAGATGGAAGATATTTGGAACGCATGTGCGTTCCACAGAAATAGAAAAGTTATTGGCTGATGACTCGATCTGGAGCACACATGCGTCCCGATAGAGGAAACCGGAAGTGACGTCGAACGCATAAGGAGATTGAAACGCACCGCTCCAAGGTAACCCGGAAGTAAAATATTGACGTTTGGAATGCACGTTACGTACATTGCGTTCCAACATAGAAGAATACCGGACGTAAGCGCACGATTGGAGGAAAAGCCCGGCGGGAACTTTAAAAAGGGGAAAAGAGACCTGAGTGAATTTTATCCAACTGAGGAAGCCTGAGGAATAGGCGAAACACGTTTTGGACATTACTGTTTTTATTAAGGACATTTTAAAGAGACTTTTATTTAGATCAGTCTTCTGTTTATTGCACCTTTAACCAGCTGTTTCTGGTGTAAGTAATATATATATTTTTATATGAATAAATATTGTTTTTTAAAGGACCATTTGGATATCCTATAGCTTTATTTTGGCACATCAAATAAGAGCATAAAGAAGATAACATCAAGATCCTGGTTGCAAAAGGGTCTGGACAACCCCTGAATGGTCCAAGGAAGCATACTAAGAGAGTCATATGATGGTATGACTCCAACCTTGTGAGTGAATCTACTATTTACTCTCTGTATTGTATATTGTTGAATAGACATACTACGCTATTTTGTATATATACCATTGTGTTTTACAGATTATTCAAGGTTTAAGCGGCTCCACCTATTGCGTTGTATGTATTTCTATGTATTTATGGTGGTGTAGGGGATACCACATATTAGGTGTATTTAGAGCTGCTCACTTTTCTTTCTTCCACTGTATGTACAATTTGTTTTTCACTCCTTCTCCGGTTCGGCTGGGCTGTAGTTCAACTGCTGCAGTCAGTAGAGAAACATGCATAGACCCAAGTTCAAAATTAGCCGCCTCGAGTTCCGACCAGCATAAGCTCTTCCCCCATAAATTACGTCGACGCGTTTCACCATATGACAGTTTCCTCAGTTTCCTCAGGACGTGCTACCGACCGCCATGTTGGTTATGGGCATATAAACGTTGAAGTCATGATCTGATTGGTTAGCTTAATTTGCATGCGGTCCTTTTGTCTTGCCGACTTAAGATCTTAACTAGCCAAAGTACTATGTTTTCAATTTATATATAATTATAATTACAAATTTATACAGTTACAAATACATAATCCAAAATCCAATACAGTTGCAGGTATATATTTCAAATGCGCTTTCATTTAAGAATGAACTTTCAATTAAAAATAATTAAACATAATTAAACATGATAAACAGTAATTAGAGGGAATCTTAAATAGAGGCTAGTTAGTAGTTAAGGAACAGTAATCATTTTGCATTACTCCATAGTAATTGTTGTAAGCATGAATATGATATCTTACAATTCTCAATTTCTAAACATGAACATAATAAAAATCAAGAAATCAAAATAAAATATCATATGTATAATATCTTAATAGAATATTTAAAAAATTCCAAAACCTGCTCAGGAAATAAAATAGAAGAGGAGAATAAACATATGGAATAAATACACATCAATTGACACTTAAAAATAAATATAAACAAATAAAATTAAAAATAAATTATATACAAAAATGGATTACATTAAAGAGAATTAAAACAGAAGGGAAAGGAAGGGGTAAAGTGCATAAAATGTAATAAATTGTGATAAATTTAGATCTCATGGAGAAGATCGCATGGATATCGGACTAAAAAACTATCAATTAAAAAACCTCTAAAAAGATTCCAAAATTGGATAATATAATATATAAATTCGTAGAATATCAAAAATATATAAAATAAATAAAAAATAATTATGCAATCAGATCTTTAAATTAAAAAATGACAAGTCTCGAAATCATTATTAAGGCTATGAGGGATCATAGTGTTTAGATCAAAGATCCATTTCATTTGGGCCCGTCCTATTAAAATCTCCACCTCTCCATTCCTTATGGATCTGTTGGATCCCTATAAAACTTAATTTTGTGGGGTCTGCTCCATGATGTTTAAAATGTAGAGAAACCTGATGCAGTGCGTATTCCCTCTTAATATTATATATATGCTCACCTATACGTGTACCCAAAGGTCTGGTGGTGCGTCCTATGAAATGTAATCCACACGTACAGGTGAGCATATATATCACATTCTTAGAACTACACGTTATTCCTTCTTTTATCCTGTATGTGATATTGTTGACTGTGAATTCTTTTACATGCTGTTTTTTATTTCCTGTTTTACCACACGCACTGCAGTGACCACATCTAAAAAAGCCTTCCTGTTGATTTAAAAAGTAATTACCACTAGGTTTAGGTTCGTCCAGAACATTATTCACTAAAATTCTCCTAAGATTAGGGACTCCCTTATGTATTATCCTGGGTTTATCAGTCAAAATGTAATTAAGGGTAGGGTCCTCTATAAGTATTGGCCAATATTTATTTACAATATTGCCTACTCTCTGATTATGTCCCCCTAAGTATTGACATATGAATGGAACATTAAATGTAGTATGCGTATTCTTCTTCTCTTGGTACTTTAAAATCTCTGTTCTGTCTAATGTCTCTACCCTCTCCTTAGCTTCTTTTAAACTCATCTTATCATAGCCCCTTTCCCTAAAATCATCAATAACTTTTTGGCTTTGTTCATCAAATATGCTGTCATCAGTGCAGTTTCTCTTCATCCTAATTAACTGGCTTCTGGGTACATTACTCAATCAGGGACTGAAATGACAGCTTTTGTTCTGGATATAACCTTCAGTTCTTGATTTACCCTCAACACAGAGCCTCGTCTCGTGCTTGTAGGGAAAAGCTATACCTCCTGCAATCCCTGCTCCTGGAATACTATAATCACTAGCTCTTCTGAGAGCTGTTCCTGCTCTACTCTACAGCCTTACTCTCACAACAGGGGAGAAAGGACATCTCTGGGCGGCAAAAAACCCTCACTCTATCCGGGTGCTGCTACAGCGTGTATACTTTACAATAGGAGCTGCACGTCTTTATTCTTTGGACGTTTTATTCTTCTGTAGTAATTTTCATGGATATAGATCTAATGTCCCAATACCGGCTTCTCCCTTCATTTAAAAATGCTATACAGAACTCATGCCTGCCTCAGCAAAATCTGACAGTCACTCTATGTGGACTCTGAGGACCCGGTCGTCTCTACCGATGACTCTCACCTCCGAAATGCCAGGGACCCAGATACCTCAGTGCCTCAGTATTATTAAGCCACTCCTGCCATCCAATGCTTCAGCATTCATCCACTACTGTTCGAAAACAAGCCCCTCAGCCTCGTGGTTCTTTCCATAGGGCCCTCATATGTCCTACATCATCGCCTAAACCCCCAGTTAGCGCTGCTATTTCTCATGAATTTATTTGTAAAAGGGAACCAATAATTATACACATATGCACACTCTATTGCATGTAAACATACCTGCACAACTGCATACTGATAAATGGCTAAAGATACATTGAGGTAATATAAAAAGGGCCATAACTGGGCCTACCCAACAGCTATCTTACATACTGTAAATAAACCATGTGTTATGTGGCTTTATCTTTGAAAACAGTGGTCCCTTATAAAAGATCACAAGTCATGCTTTTCAATTACATTACTCCAAAAATATTGTACAGAAGAAAAATAATGTATGATGAGAAGGTTCCATGTTGCCCACCACTGTTCATCCTGCTATTACTTAAATCAAGAATCACATAAAATTATTCATAATGCTATTAAACTTGTCCTTTCAAATTAAATTATTTTTTCTATTATCTATATGATTATGGAGGGAAAGTTACAGAGTTTTACATAATCAAGAAAAGCAATTTGACTGTCTGTCCAATTAACATTCAAACTCAACATGGTTTTGATCATTTTAAATGA